TAATAAATTTGAAATTATTGCCAATTTTTTTTTCACAACTCAAAACAACTGATCATTTTTTTCGTTATCAGAAATTATTCTGTGACAAAAATTATGCCACCATTTTTTGAAAATAAAATTTTTTTCAAAAATTACTAAAATTAAAATTTGATGTTTTTGGGTGATTATTTTAGCAATAGAAATATTTTTAAATTTAGCATGGTTTAAAGTTTAATTTTAATCATTCATTGATCACATTTATTCAAAAATTGAAAACAAATATAAGTCTAAATATGGCAGCAGTGATCTACTCATTGCTGAGTTTTTTTTTTTTTTACATATCACAGGCGTGTTATTACGCAAATTACGTCATTTATTGATTAAAAGTTTATTTTTTTGGCTTGTAAAATGCACTTGACGGATGAATAATTGCTAGCTTTTCTTGTTTTATGCATAAAAAGGAAGACATAAAAGCTGCGTAACTTATTTGTCAATATTTAGCTTTAACTTAACTTCTATTTTATAACCTGCAAAAAATTAATCGTACAATTATATTGCTAAATTTTAAATTTTTAAAATTTGCATTTTAAAACTTTTACAATTTATAAACTGCGTATTTGATAATCAAGCAAAGTAAAGCTACGTGTATTTCAAGACTGCTCATTTTATTAAACAAAAAAGCCATTAAAGTTAAAACACATAATATGAAAAAAAGCTAAACATACTATATAAAAGCATAGAGTTAAACTATAAAAAAATAATTTAAGTGAAGAAAAAATCGTTCGATAAATAGTAATTATATATGCTTCAGTAAATCGAGCAAAATTTTAAAAAACATTTACAACAAATTAATCGTATAATTTGTATTAGTAAATTTTAATTAAGGATTTCTTTTAAAAAAATTATTATTATTATTTTTATTTAAAAAAGTTTCTAACAAATTTAGATATGCAATCAATGAAATAATTTTTTAAGCTAACTAAGTAAAAATGCAAGTTAGTGAGTTTTAGAAAAATTCAAAGCAAAAAGTGAAATAAGCAGTGTAAAATGAACATTTCTGCAGAAAATGTGCTCTTCAACCTCACGTCAAGTATATGTCTCAGTGTTATAAGCAGTAAGTAAGAACATTGTAACAAAGTGTTGTTGTTTTGCATTTAGTATGAACAAAATTTGCATTTAAAATGTTAACTTTAATCACTATCTGAATAATCTCGAGACTTTTCAAAATTTTACATTAGATCAGATCGAAAATTTTTAAAATTATGCACTGAATTAGCTTGAGAATTTTTAGAATACTAATTTAGATTAGCATAATTTTAGCACCTAATCAAAACAAGATATAATCTTTGATAATACCATTTAAGCATTATCAAGATAAAATAAAATCAGTTAAATATTAGTTTTTTGTTAATATTAAGCCTTCAGTAACCATATAATTATTAATGATTAATTAGTGATTTGATTTATTATTTATTTTTGCAATGACCTTTGTCCACAAATTTTTTTAAAAATTTTATTCCAAACACAGTTGAAATTTAAAAAATTTCATATGGCTGAAGAAAATTTTGATAGCAAAGCGTAGTGGAAAATTTTAATATCTTTTACACTTTTAATAATTTGGCATATATTTATGAAAGTAAATATATGACAGTTGATCACAGAAGTTCCAGCTTCTTAAAATCCAAATCTAATCTCGAAATTGAAATTCAAGTAATATACGTATATACGAACAATTGTGTGGAACAAGAAAATAACGATACAATTCAGTTGATAATAATGATAGTAGTAATAACGTGGATATGAGTGACAATAATAATTAATAATAACAATAATAATAATATTATTAATATTAATAAACAATAATAAATAGTATTAATAAATAATGATTCATTTATAACATTACGAAATAATAATATTAATAATAATAATAATAATAATAATAGTGCTGTTCACCAGTTGTTTATAGCTTCTGAAAACATTCAAAACATAAAAAATGAGCCAGTTTAAAATTTCGTGATGTAAAGTTAGCCACTGCACTGCTTCCTTTGCTCTATTTTGAATATAAAAAATAAATAAACATATAAATAAATGGTCCCAAGACCAATTTAAATTCAAAAGTAATAAAAAGATTTAAAAAATAATTGGTTTTCACCAAATTTCCATGCCTGCAATGAATGCTCAATTAGTGCAAAATAAATTAATTATTTTTCATAAATTTTGTTTATTTCCAA